TGGTGCATTTACCAGCAATCGCTTCAGCGTCAAACGGATCCGTGTGAAAGGAGTAGAAGAGGAGCCGACGGTCCGCGAGCTCCTGTTCGTTGTAGGGTAGTGATGAGCATGAGGATCTGCTGAAACCATGGAACTTCCGCCGGTCATCCGAAATCTCCTGAACGGAGTACATCCACTGACCGACGACTTCTACTGGAGCCAGAGCACCGGCTCTGACTTGCTGGCGTATTTCCTGCAGAATGTCATGAAGCAAATATTAGAAATATAACATTCTTAAATCATACTGAATGACATGGTGGAAGGTTAGAAAAATGAATATTTTACCCGAATGATGCAAATGAATGGCACAGGTTCCTCGTTGATAACTAGCTCTTCCTGGCTGTCGTTATCCGTCTTGCTTAAGCTCTCATCAGACCACACCAAGACAGCGTCTCCCTGAAAAGCAAACGAAGGCAACAGGATGGCAAGAAGTGAACGGCTCGAGTTAATCATTTAGTTTTTAGGCTTTACGGCGTTTTAACATATTACATGCATCGTTCATCGTTTACATGCATCGTTCAGCGTCCGTAGGATTACGGCAACTCTTGCTGTGTTTGACGTTTCACTGAATCCTACGGACGCTAACCTAGTGGACCATGTTTCAACGCTCAGATGTAACCTAAGCTGGCATAGCTAGACTAGAACGAGAGAATCTTACGAGCTTGTATATGTTGCCTTGCCACTTTAGCGCTTTAAACAGCAGGTACTCCTTCTTCCCCTCCCGCTCCTTCCGTATCGGCTTTCCTAAAGCTTCTGCACACTCGTCTACATCCATAGCACAACAATGGATGAACCAAGTGACACAACAAGTCTCACCAGCTACTCTAACCTAAGGCAGAATTTAACTACACAGGAACGAAGAACAATACTGAACTGTCAGCAAAAACAGTCGCACTACGAGGCTGTGCCGCTGATAAATGACATTTTCTTGATAAATGGCCTTCTGAGACATGGCCTTCTGAATTTATGAAGACATGGCGTCCTGAACAACACCAAACCTAACTCCAACCAAGCCAACACAGATTCACTGTAGCTTCTAGGGCTCTTCCTGACGATTCCAGACCTCCATTGCGGCTTCGAAGTGCTCTCCTCCTCGCCTCGCCTCGCCTCTCCCTGACCATGTTTCTTACGAGTCGGGCTGTCTGGTCCGGTTGTCCATACCAGACAGAAATAGTACAGAGCAGTGCAGTACAGTATCGCACCGCCTGAAAACTCCTCGCGCCGAAGAGAACCTATCTATAACTGAGTGTGTTCTGCACATGTCAGTGCGCCTGGTCTGTTTGTGATAATTCGGGGGGGAATTTCGTTCACCAATCAGAGATTCCCGCGGTTCAAACCCTCCAAATGGAACAGAACATTATTACTAATGAAATTACTTCATCACAAACACTATCAAAGATCTATTTTGCTTAAACTTGCAGATTTGTTATAAACACACCAAGCCCTACTTATTAGACAGGTCGCATGTGCTAGACATGTGAAAGGCATCCTGAGCCCAAGAAGGCAATGTACCATGCACCACAACCCTTTCCCCAGTGCTTGGATGTGGAAAATCCAAGCGTTCCGCGTGCAAAAGGTGATGCGACCAAACCCTTCCCTCCATAGGCCACATTGTTGGTCCTCCATACCTGACATCCCCTACCAGGGGAAACCCTGCAAACTGGCAGTGCAGACGAATCTGGTGGGAGCGTCCCGTATGGGGGAAGGCCCGAACCAGCACAGCAAGTGGGGCACATGGAGTAGCTACACAAGTGTCTTGAGCTGTTTGCTCGTGTTCTGCATCGGACGAGCGAAATTGCGTTGACTTCAGCATTGCCAGAACCACCAGCTTGGTCCGCATGTCCCTTACCCTTGACCCACCAGGAAGTTTCCTCCCAATATCCTTCACATCGTACACACGCCATAGCCCGTGCCGTGATCTGCCATGGCCTGTTTCCAATACTAACTCATCACCTGCCTTCAAATAACAAGTTTTGCGAGGAGCAGAGCCAGAAGCCGGTGCAGAAGTCGAGACAGGGTCAGAAGCAGAGGGAGAGGTCGCGGCAGGGGCAGAGGTATTGGCAAAAGCAGAGGCAGAAGCAGAAGGAGAAGGAGAAGGGGAAGCACATACAGCACCAACAATCTCTTCATCACAGCGAGTATCCCCACTGGGTGCAACAGCAGAAGCGTCGGACAGAGCACAGAGAGCCAAGTACGACTTGCTGACGTCCCTCCTCTCAAACGCCTTCCCTAGTTTGGCAGCTGACTTTGCGGTCTTCGCCAGCAGCAGCACGCCACTGGTATCGCGATCCAATCGGTGCACCAGAAACGGGGTGGAAGCGGGTAACCCTGTAGGTGACAACGCCGTGTGACTGCCAGCTGCAGCTGGCGTACTGCTGGTGGAACTCAAACCCTGCATTCCTGCTGCTAAGTTCTCCGCACCCAATGTCATCTTCCCATCCACAGCACGTGTGCTCTGCTCTGGAAGTTTTCTAATCACAGGTACACTTGATGGCATGTGCGACTCCTCCGCGCTTTCCGCACTTGGCCGTTTCGCGTGTGTCGCTCGGTCTCGCGTGGTCAGCATGGCACCCACGGCTGATAGGATGTGTTCACTGTACACTCCTGGCGGTTTCTGCACGGCAATCAACCAGTCGTCTTCCAACAAAATCATGTCTGGGTCTATTGAGATGCCAGCGCCTGCTGCTGCTTCGGCGGCTTGAGCTCGTTGGGTCTCGATCGAGGAAGACTCTGGAGGAGGGAATGGGGTCACAGGAGTTGGAAACGATGAAGCTAATGTCGGGGATGGTGCCACCGCTGGATTTACTTGTGCATACTTGGATTCTGCCATGGCTCGTGACCCTCCTGAAGGATCTCAAACACTCTCTGGCGCATAACCGGACGGCGCTGATGCGAGAAAATGAGAGGCTGACGCGGATGCGCAGCAGCTGTTCGTACGAATCGGCTCGACTATTTGGAAAAGTTTCTCAGGCGTCATGCTCGTAAAGAATACGCTAGATCGAAGCTCCGACTGAAGCTGAAATGCGCGCGGAAGTAAGTCGAGGGATGATGCCAAACGTTTCGGTTGTGTCTCGTTGTGAAACACCCTCAATCGTGCCAAATGGTCAAGAAGCTGTCGTCGTGGCCCGAAAACCGTAAGCATGCTACTCCAAGAAAAGCTCGATGATGCGAGAATGGCAACAGGGGAAGAGTCTGTCGTGAAATACTTCTGATTTGAATGTGAAGCTATTTTCGGGGAGCAGCAGCTAACCATACTGGGTTCAACAAAGAAGAGTACGAACTGTATTGTAACACTGAAGTGCAACTTCGCGAATTTCAGGTAGTCGAATCAGTCCACAATGCACGACTTCCTTTGCATTGGGCAGTCCCGTGCATCGACGGCTTTTATGCAGCTGAAGAACCCTTTGACGGCTGAGATTCATCTTGAGACGACACAAAGGACAAATACGACGAGTGGGCATGTTTACTTGCGAGCAACAGTCGAAGCAGGCGGTTCTGCTTTCCGTTTCGTGTTTGCTCCTCCAGGCGGTCTCTGTTTCCATTTGGCTCGGCTCGGCTCAGTCAGCAGGAGCTCAGCGCCCCAAGGCTCCATCCACCCAGCTCCGTTCAACCCTGACGGTTTCGGTTGGCCTAGCTGAAGAAGAACCTTGGGATTGACATGCTCGAGCAGGTTTGTTTGCAGCTGATATTCTCAAAATGGTCTCCCAACCCATCTAGAATAAAAATGCACCGCTCTGTCACGCACAATATCGCATATAGCCACTGATAGTGCACTTCTGCACACTTGAGACCTCCAGCAGGGAGGGTTGGATTGTTTGGCATGGTGATAGTAGCTTCTGTTTCTAGTAACTTTCGTAGGAATGAGAGTTGAGGGACCAAGGGACAAAGTGAAACCGACGTGTCGGGAAAGTGAGAGGGATGGAGTGGGCGTTGGAATTTCTAGGCGGTGATTGCTCAGTGACACTTCACCTCTGCGTCGATTAAACATCATACTCTGACTATTCGTTAGTTTAGAAGCCATATCTGGAGTTTTGACTGTCCTCAACGTGACAGTAGCGTGTCGAGTTACCATTTGGCGACAGCCTGTCCTTCCGTATACATCCTAGCAGAAGGCATCTTATCTTATCATTTCGAGGTTTTTTTTTCTGTTCTCTGCCGCTAGAAGAATTTGTCACCTACCTAGTTCATGTGAAATCTCTTCGGTCGCCACGACGCGCGTCATGTCGCGAAACGCCATGTTCACAGACCAACAGCATCCGTCTCGTTACGGACGGTCTCGGTACCTGTTGCCTCTCTTCTGCTGCTGTTCCCTACTCATCCTCGGCTCATTATCATCTACCAATGCCGTCCTCTCCTCGTCGACGAATCTCCAGCACCACCAGCAGCTGCAGCAGGAGCAGCACCAGCAGCAGCATCAGCAGAGAGTACTATCACAAACAACTGTACAACGTAAACCGCCGTTAGAGCCTTTGGAGCCATTGGAAACTTCAGAGCCGTTAGATTCAGTCTCTCAACGCCAATTCTTGAGGGAGAGAGCCCGCGCTTTGCGAGAGAAACTGGACGCGCAGAGGTTGAGACGGAAGTCGTCTCCGGTCTCTACCCAGCCGACCTTGAGTCACCTCAAGGTTCGTCTTTTCCCGCCGATGCGGTCCCCTTGCCGTCTTCTTGGTCACGGATGTCTGCATTCTTTTCAACCCAACGCATCGCAAATTGTTTACATCCTAACGGTTCGGCCTTTTTCTTTGAGGGCCCTTCAATAGTTTATTACAGCCGAACGTCCGTCGCGTCTCCTTTTTGTAACAAGTTCTCCCTTTCGCTCCCCTCCCCCCTCCCCCTCTTTTTCCACCCCGTTTCGTCTGGATGCTTCCACGTCAGCAGAGTCTCCATGACAGAATCCAGAGCGACGATTGGTGCAGAGGTCTCTCGGACGGCCTTTACGCAGACCCCCTGTCCAACCCTTCATGCAGGTATGTCGGCATTGCAGACCTTTCAGTTCAGACGTTGCCATCCCCTCCAGTGACAAAACCCACAACAGAAAGCCTGACGTTGGTTTCCGAATGTCTATTTCTCACGAACTTTTTGTGTTCTTCCCCGCTCCACCCCTTCCCAAATATCCGTTCCTCTTCCTCCTTCACTCATCCCATCCCTCCTCTCCCCTCCTGCTCTTTTCTCCTCTCTCCCCTCTCGCCCCCCCCCCCTCGTGTGCCGCCGCTTCCCAGTGTATACTTCCGCTGCTCCAACCAGGCTCTCGCCGCTCTGCACCGCTGTCCACCGCACACGCTGTTCCTCGAGGCAGGCCTGTGGAACGGTGGTAAAGGGGAGGAGGAGGCGGGGAGCGAGGGCGCGTGCATCCCTGAGGAGGAGTTCCTGCACAATGCACACCTGAGGAAACTCGGAGCGAGCTCCTCTGGCGAAGGCTGGGAGGGTTTTCCTGTGGAGGGCCAGGGAGACGCGGGCTCCGCGTATCCGTCTGGCGGCCACCGGGGGGTTTCGTTGAGGGAGGTGGCGGGTGTGAGCCGGGCAGTGGGCCTTCTCAAATCAAAACCAGCAGCAGCAGCAGCAGCCGGCGCAGGAGGGGCAGAAATAGCAGGGGGGGCAGGGGGAGACGAAGGAGCAGGAGGAACGGGAGAGTCTATGGGAGCAATGAGGAGCCAGCTTGAGGTGAATCCACAGGCAGGGGGAAGCGGGGCTTCATCTCCAGGTGCCTCATCGCAGGCTGCCCCATCTTCCCCCACCCCGTCCGCTTCCCTCCCGGACCCGCAAGCCCTGGCGGAGCTGAATGCGCTGCTGGCCTTCAAGGCGTCCGTCATCGTGTTTAACGACCTCCTCGCCTCATGGACCGTTCCCCGCTCCGCCTTCTCCGCCTCCTCCGCCCCATCCGCCAACTCCGTCCCCTCCGCCTCCCCCGCCTCCTCCGCTGCCTCCCCCGACCCCTACAGCTTCCTCTGCGCCTGGCGCTTCGTTACTTGCTCCCCCGCCCGCCCAGGTGGCGCGCGGAGGGTGGTGGGGCTGAGTATGACCAGGTTCGGCCCGGACCTGGACCAGAGGCCCGTGCTGATGCTCACCCGCAGGTCCGTTCTGGAGGAAAATTGGGACGGTTCAGGTGCGGCAAGTGGAGGGGGGAGCAGCGGTGACGTGGCTGGTAGCAGCCGCAACAGCAGCAGCGTCAGTAGCAGCGGCGGTGGAGGCAGCAGCAGCAGCAGCAGCAGCAGCCCTAGTCTTCAGATTTCCCCCACTCTCCCCAGTTTCCCCAGTCTCCCTCTCATCCCCCTGCAGTTCTCCGCCCTCACAGCCCTCACCAACCTCTCTCTCTCCAGCAATCGCGACTACCGCGAGATGGCTGGGCTAATAGGAGCCTTCCCCTCCCACCTCACCTCCTGCTCCTCCCTCCAAGTCCTCTCCCTCACAGGCCACAGGCTACTCGGCCCCCTCCCAGACTCAATCTCTCTCTTCTCCTCCCTTAAGCACTTACAGCTGACGTATAATCTAATGTCCGGGCAGTTACCCACTGCCCTGGCGTCGCTTTCCCGCCTCACGAACCTTAATTTGGAGGCAAACAATTTCTCGGGGGAAATCCCCTCGCAGATATCCCGGCTCGCAAAAACGCTTGTGAATCTAAATCTCGGGCAAAACTCCCTTTCGGGCAGCTTACCGACCGAGCTCGGGCAGCTGACAAACCTCGGAAACGGCCCATTCGTCGACCCATACCCTGGCCTCTACCTTCACCGAAACTTACATTCCGGCCCGCTGCCCGAATCCCTCTCGTCCCTCTCGTCCCTCCAAGCCCTAGACCTCTCTTTCAATAACCTATCCGGCCCCATCCCTCAAGCAGGTTCCTTCCTCACGTCCTTCAACAACCTTCTCCTCCTGTCGCTATCACACAACCAACTCTCCGGCCCCCTGCCACTGCAGAAGGGCTGCGGCATGTCCTTGTATCTGTTTCAGCTCGGTTCTAACCGGTTCACTGGTGGTCTTCCTGCCGACCTCTCGTCCTGCTACTTGCTTTACTCGCTCGACGTGTCGGGGAATTTACTTTCAGGGCAGCTGTCGCCGAGCTTCTTTACGTCCCTGGCGGGGACGTCGGTGGGGGAGATTTTCCTGGCGAACAACAGTTTCGAGGGTAATTTACCCTCGGAAATTGGCGATGTTGTGACGCTGGGCGCTCTGGATGCCAGTGGCAACCGGCTTTCTGGGAAGCTTCCGGAGCTCAAATCCTGTCCGTCTTTGATTTACCTGGCGAACAATAACTTCTCGGGCAGGATTCCGGCAGGGTTTATCTGCCCGTCCTTGTCAGCCCTAGACTTGAGCAACAACTCTTTGTTGGGGGACCTGCCCGAAATCCTTCTGGGCAACGCTAGGCCAGCCGAAAAAAACCCACCACCATCGGCATCGGCAGCAGCAGCATCAACACTATCAGCAGTAGCAGCAGCAGCCGGAGGAGGAGGAGGAGGGGCAGGAGCAGGAGCAGCAGCAGCGCAACAGAAGGTACCAGCCTTTCAGTACCTTTCTCTGAGTCTCAACCGTCTCACTGGCCCTCTTCCCTACCTAGGCAAATGCTCCTCCCTCACCACCCTCCTCCTCGATTCCAACCAATTCTCAGGCCCCCTCCTCCTCCCCTCCTCCCCTCCTTGCCCCAGACTCCAATCCTTCAACGTCTCCCACAACTCCCTTACAGGCACGCTCGATACTATCACCACCCAGCTTCGCCCCTCCCCCATTTTCACCCTCGGCCTCGCCGGAAACCTCCTGGAAGGTCCCGTTCCGGCCGCCATAGGAAACCTGACGTCAGCACGGACGATTGACGTGTCAGGCAACCGCCTCTCGGGATCCCTCCCACCGACACTTAGCCAGCTGCAGGTGCTCCGCTCGCTAAGTGTCAGTGGGAATAACCTTTCCTCCCACCTCCCAGCAGAACTCAGCGCCCTCTCCCTACTCACCTCTCTGGACGTGAGCAGGAACGATTTCAACGGCCCGATTCCCCCGCAGCTAGCCTCTCCATTCCTCCCCCGTCTCCTCTACTTAAACCTCTCTCATAACCACTTCGTCGGTGCCATCCCGTACGGATTCTCCAACACTAATACCTCTGCCACCGCCCTGGACTTCTCTTTCAACAATCTTCTCGGTCAAATCCCCTTCAACACCACCGGCACTCCCCTGTCTGCATACGCGTTACAAGGCAACCTGGGACTCTGCGGAGGGTTCGGGTATGCCTCCTGCCCAACGCCGCCCTACGAGAGCACAGGGGGGGTCTCTCCGGGAGCGATTGCAGGGATCGCGGTGGGCTGTGCGGCGTTTGTAGCGGCGCTGGTGGTGCTGCTGGTGCTGCTGTGGCTGTGGCTGTTTGCGCGAAGGAGAGGGCCGAGCCTGGACGGCGGCACCATGCTGGTGTTTGAGAAGCTGGGCTTTAAGCTCACGGTGACGGACGTGGTGGATGCGACTGAAGACTTCAGTAACAAGTTCTTGCTGGGACGAGGAGGCTTTGGCTCTGTTTACAGGTGCGAACCGCCTGGTTGCTAGCGGTAACGAACGGTAACATGTGGTGAAATGTGGTGACATGTGGGGCGATGCTGGTGTTTGAGAAGCTGGGCTTTAAGCTCACGGTGACGGACGTGGTGGATGCGACTGAAGACTTTAGCAACAAGTTCCTGCTGGGGCGAGGAGGCTTTGGCTCTGTTTACGAGTAAGATCTGGCTGGTTAGGTAATATGCGGTGATAGGTATGGCGACAGGTGCAACGACAGGTACGGTGACAGTTGTGGGTACAGGTGCGGTGTCAGGTACGGTGACAGGTGCGAGGTACGGTGACAGGTGCGAGGTACGGTGACAGGTGCGAGGTACGGTGACAGGTACAGTGTCAGTCACGACTACACCGTCCATTAGAGGAGTAGAATCCATCCTTTTCTCGCTCCCATTATCCCTGCCCCAACCCACACCCTTGTCCACCCCATTCCTGGTCAATCCCTGCCCCTGTCCCTGTCCCTGTCCCTGCCCCTGCCCCTGCCCCTGCCCCTGCCCCTGCCCCTGCCCCTGCCCCTGCCCCTGCCCCTGCCCCTGCCCCTGCCCCTGCCGCTGCCCCATCCCCCATCCCCCATCCCCCCCACTTCCCCAGGGCCACACTGCAGGACGGCAGGTCAGTGGCCATAAAGCGCCTAGCCTTGGGCAGCAGCCAGGGGCAGCGAGAGTCTGAAGCAGAGATGAACACCCTCGGCAACGTGCAACCCACATGCCGATCTCCCCTACCCTCCTCTCACTCATTCCTGCCCCTCTTCCTGCCCGTTTCCCTGCTTCTGCCCCTTCTTCTGTCCCATCCGCCCTCTCAAAACACCTCCTCCTTCCCTTTCTCCCCAGGGCCACGCTGCAGGACAGCAGGTCAGTGGCCATACAGCGCCTGGCGTTGGGCAGCAGTCAGGGGCAGCAGGAGTTTGAAGCCTAGACGAAGTGCGTGCGCCACCGCAACTTAGTAGTCCTTCCTGGTAGCCGCTTACCTCTCCCTCGTTTCCGTCCCCACTTCCCCTGCCCCTGCCCCTGCTTCTGCCCTTGGTCATGTCCCATCCCCCCTCCCAAACACACCCCCTTCCCCCTTTCACTCAGAGCCACACTGCAAGATGGAAGGTCAGTCGCGATAAAGCGCCTGGCCTTGGGCAGCAGCCAGGGGCAGCGGGAGTTTGAACTCCCTCGGCAACGTGCGCCACCGCAACCCACTCGCCCCTCTCCCCTGCCCTCCTGTCACTCATTCCCGTCCTCCTGCCCCTGCCCCTGTCCCTGCCTCATCCACTATCCCCCCCTACCCCCTCCCCCTCCCACTCCCCCTCCCCCCTCCCCCTCCCCCTCCCACTCCCCCTCCCCCCTCCCCCTCCCCCTCCCCCTCCCCCTCCACCTCCCGCTCCCCCTCCCCCAGGGCCACACTGCAGGACAGCAGGTTGGTCGCGATAAAGCGCCTGGCGTTGGGCAGCAGCCAGGGGCAGCGGGAGTTTGAAGCCTAGATGAACACCCTCGGCAACGTGCGCCACCGCAACCCCGTAGTCCTTGTCTCCGCATACCTCTCCCTCATTTCCGTCCCCACTGACCCTGCCTGTACCCCTGCTTCTGCCCCTGGTCCTGTCCCATCCCCCCTCCCAAACACACCCCCTTCCCCCTTTCACTCAGAGCCACACTGCAAGATGGAAGGTCCGTCGCGATAAAGCGCCTGGCACTAGGCAGCAGCCAGGGGCAGCGGGAGTTTGAAGCCGAGATGAACACCCTCGGCAACGTGCGGCACCGCAACCTAGTAGTCCTGGTCGCTGCATACCTCTCCCCGCCGCCCGCCCAAGAGCGCCTCTTAATCTACGACTTCCTCCCAGGCGGCTCCCTAGACCAGGTCTTGGCGCGCGAAATGGGCAAAGACTCGCCGATGCGACGGTGGGCTGTAAGGAGGAACATCTTAGAGGGTACAGCACGGGCCCTCAAATACCTTCACCAGGATTGCACCCCAGGGATTATCCATAGAGATATGAAGCCCGCGAATATTCTCCTGGACGAGAATTTAGAGGCTAAGGTGGCTGATTTCGGGCTGGCGAGGGAGGCGGATGCGAGCCGGACTCATATGAGCACGAGTGTGTTTGGGACGGTGGGGTATTTGTCTCCGGAGTACTCGCAGAGGGGGCGGCTGTCGTTCAAGAGCGATGTGTTCGCGTTCGGAGTGCTGGTGCTGCAGGTGATTACTGGGAAGCTTCCGACGGACAGTGACGTGGCGGAACGAGGGCTCGCCAGGTAGGATGCGGGTGATGGTGATGAGGATGATGGGGATGATGATGCTGAGGATGATGGGGATGATGCTGAGGATGCTGATTATGTTGGTTTGCATTATGTCACAACGTACTAAGGCATGCTTGCTTGCTTTATTGCCTACTTGATAGCATGCTTCCGTTCGGTTCTGGTTTGGGTGCATGCCTGCCGACTGCCCCTCCATGCCTGAGGCTCTTCACGTGTTAGGGAACCTTTACATCCCCCGTTCATCCATCCTCCCTCCTGCCCAAACCCCAGCGCCCCCGGTCCTCCCTCCTGCCCAAACCCCAGCGCCCCCAGTCCTCCCTCCTGCCCAAACCCCAGCGCCCCCGGTCCTCCCTCCTGCCCAAACCCCAGCGCCCCCGGTCCTCCCTCCTGCCCAAACCCCAGCCCCCCCGGTCCTCCCTCCTGCCCAAACCCCAGCGCCCCCGGTCCTCCCTCCTGCCCAAACCCCAGCGCCCCCGGTCCTCCCTCCTGCCCAAACCCCAGCGCCCCCGGTCCTCCCTCCTGCCCAAACCCCAGCGCCCCCGGTCCTCCCTCCTGCCCAAACCCCAGCGCCCCCGGTCCTCCCTCCTGCCCAAACCCCAGCGCCCCCGGTCCTCCCTCCTGCCCAAACCCCAGCGCCCCCGGTCCTCCCTCCTGCCCAAACCCCAGCGCCCCCGGTCCTCCCTCCCTTACTCTCTCCCTTTCCCAACCCCTCACCCCCCACCCCCATGCCTGCAGGTGGGTGGGGATGCACACTGTGGCATCATTCGTGGACGACAGGATAGACGACGCGCTGCTGTACGAGGATGAGATCATGGGCGTCGTCACACTCGCCCTGCAGTGCACCCAGACTGTCCCCGCTGACCGCCCCTCCATGCCTGAGGCTCTCGAGGTGTTGGAGAATCTGCACGACTTTGCTAAGGGGATCCGCATGGGGATAGACGCCAAGGAGGTGGAGTGAGGAGGCGGAGAGCTTTTTGGTGTGTGGGGGGAGGGGGAAGGGGGAGTCATGGCAACAGAGGTCGCACGTGCCTGAAGCCCTCAAGGTGCTGGAGAATCTGCACGACTTTGCCAAGGGGATCCGCATGGGGATAGACGCCAAGGAGGTGGAGTGAGGAAAGAGGAATGCAGGAGGGATTCATACAAGGGAGGAATGAAAGGAGGGTCTCAAGACAAGAGGACGCGTGCTCGTGTGTGCTGTTTTGGAGAAGCTGCATTTGCGTAGGGGTGAATTTTGAGTCGACTCAAAAGCCACCACGCATGTGCGTGGGGCTTTGGAGATGTTGGAGAGACGAATATGCATGGCTTTGCCGTGGGGATTAAATGGGGGTAGATGCCAAGGTGGTGGAGTGTAAAGAGGAGTTTTATTGTGTGTTGACATGGCACCTGAGCAGGGGACGGGGAATGAGTAAGTGGTTGAGGGAGAAGGCCGTTCCATTCACCTGGGCATCAATGCACATGAGCTGGCCTGTGGAGGGGGAGGAAGGACACAACTGAGATTGTAACGTTTTGCCTTACTGTATCATAAATTAAAACAGTCTACCCCCCTCCCCCTTCTTCCCTCCTGCTCCTCTTCCCTCCCCCCTCCCTCTCCCACACCTTTCCTCTCCACCGCCATTGCTCACCGATTCTTTTACCGTTTATTTGTTTTTCCCTGCTGTCAAGTCAGTGCTAACTGAATGGCAGATACGATGCAGACCGGTTGTGGAGTTGTTGGGCACACATGGACTGCTTCGTAATAGTGGGTGTATAATCTTGTGTTGAATTGTGTTATCACATGGTGCATGTATGGCATGGCTCTCTATAATGCTGTGTAAGGTCGGATGCTGTTTAGGTGAGGAAATGAGGTTGTCAGCAATGCATAGTTGAATTCTAGCCCGGTCAAAGATTCATTCTGGTGCACAAGTGGTCTATATATTAGACCGCGCTACTGTAGTTCACCCCATACTAAAATACTAGATCAGCCATAAGACGTTGACTCTTGGTTGTCTTCACAAGTTCACTTTGGAGTTTGAGCTCGCGTATTAAAGCAGCGGTATACATTTGACAGTACTGCTGCTTCTCTACAGTGTGCAACGCGATTTCGCCTCAACGAAAAAAAACGAGGGGGGCGATAGTTTTTGGCGAAGACCTAGGGCACTTCTGTTGTGGGGGAACCAGGGTTGGGTTGGTTGTGAGTCACGAAATGGTTCAATGCTCCCGTCACCCACCTCACCTGCCACCCTCACGCACTACGAAGAATAGGCGACTAAAACCTAAAAGACCAGGTAGAAATAGCCAAGGCGCGCGCTGGAAGGTGCGAAGCCAGCAGCGCGACCACGCACGAAGTCGCGGGTGAGTACTTAGGGAGCCGCATTACAAGCCTCGCCTGCGAAACGACCAGCAAAAGCGCGCAGAAGCTGCAGCTTGTGCAGCAACTGTCGCGCTCTCCCCTCAAGCATCGCACGCGCGCCACGTTCCGCGCGAGCCAGCACAGCGCGCGTCAGCATTGCGCCCTCAGCAGATCAGCGCACGCCAGCAAAACGCCCGCAGCAAAGCGACACTACATCTGCATAGCGCACGCGTCAGCACAGCGTGCCAGAGACGCCTCGCTTTCGCCCAGGGGCTATCTCGTGTATAAGAGCAGGCGCTCGCGTTGTTTCGTGCGCCCTGACGAATTCGCGCCGTCGCATACCAGCTGCATTCCCCCGACCGCAAGCCCCCTTCGACATTCCCTTGCCACATCCCCCCCTCCGCATTCCATCACGGAGCGTTCCACCTGCCGCAACCCCCGTTCCGCATCCCCCCTGCCGCATCCCCGATTCCGCAATCCCCGAGCCGCATTCCCCCTTCCGCATTCCCCCTTCCACAGTCCCCCGTCCATATTCCCCCTTCCCCATTCCGCCTTCCGCATTCCGCCATCCGCATTCCCCCTGCCGCATCCCCGATTCCGCAATCCCCCAGCCGCATTCCCCCTTTCGCATTCTCCCTTCCGCATTCCCCCTTCCGCATTCTCCCTTCCGCATTCCCCCTTCCGCATTCAGCCTTCCGCATTCCCCCTTCCGCTCCGCATTCCCCCTTCCGCATTCCCCCTTCCGCATTCCCCCTTCCGCATTACCCAGCATCCTTCAAACTCACTCCCTCGTGCTCCCTGCCTCATGCTCACTCCCTCGTGCTCCCCCACCCCCATGTCCATCTCCTGCCTCCCTTCACGCCCCATCAGCCGCGCGACGCCTTTCACAGGGGCCTGGCGTCGGCATTGCGTCTTCTGCACCCCTCCAACCTCCACTTCCCCCTCCAGAGCCATACGGCATTCGGTGAGTCAACCGACTCCCCACCTTCCTTCCTCCCGCGAGACACGTCGCCCATTCGTTGGAAATCGGGCAGTCCCTCTCCCATCTTCCTTCCCCCTCCCCCCCCTCTCCCCACCCCCCCTGGTCCTATATCCTCCTCCTCCTCTACCTCCTTCTCCTATCTCCTCATTTCCCCATCATCATGCCATCTGTTTCTCCCCTACTAGCCCTCCCTTCCCCCTATGCCACGAGTTTCACCCCTACTAGCCCTCCCTTCCCCCTCATCATGCCACTAGTTTCACCCCTACTAGCCCTCCCTTCCCCCTCATCATGCCATCTGCCTCCCCTCCTTTTCCCCCTTTCCCCCTCTGCTTCCCCTCTTTTCCCCTCTGCTTCCCCTCCTTTTCCCCCTTGCATCCCCTCCTTTTCCCCCCTGCATCCCCTCCTTTCCCCCTGCATCCCCTCCTTTCCCCCTGCATCCCCTCGTTTTCCCCACCAATTCCCCTCCTTTCCTCCATTGCTTCCCCCAATTCTCCCACTGCTTCCCCTCCTTTCCCCCTCTGCTTCCCCTCTTTTTCCCCCCTGCATCACCTCCTGTCCCCCCCTGCTTCCCCTCCTTTCCCCCACCAATTCCCCTCTTTCCTCCCTTGCTTCCCCTCCTTTCCCCCTCTGCTTCCCCTCCTTCCCCCCTCCTTCCCCTCCTTTCCCCCTCTGCTTCACCTACTTCTCCCCCCTGCATCCCCTCCTTTCTCCCCCTGCCTCGCCTGCCATTCATCCATCAGGTCTGCAGTGAACTCTACCAATCCCACGCCGCCACCTGTCCCTTCCTCCGCTCCCCCACTCACCCCCAGCACATCCAGATCCAACACGATGACAGCGGGCGCCCTCTCATTGGCCCGTGCCACTGCCCTCCCCAGCAGCCGCCGAACCTCCTTCGCAGGCTCGGACCCGAGCCTGGAACAGCTGACACACTCTGTGTGCGCGAGGCTGGTCCGGTCGTTTCGAACCTGCCAGGCTAGGGCAGAGGCTGTGGGCAGAGGTAGCAGAGTAGAAAGCACAGGAGAGACACTATTGGAAGAGTGACCCGCTGGTGCTCTCGTTGTAACTTGACATCAATAGCATGTTACAACGCATTTACCCGCTTGTACCCTCTGCCTTTCCTCTTTCTATAAGGCATCTTTAGGTTTGCAATTGATGAAGAAAAAAAAAGAGCTTTCACAGCAGTATGTACACACAATAACATCAGCACCAGGTATACAAGACAGTGCCATCCTCTACTCTCGGTGTCATCTTCACGCCGTGACACACTCCTGGAACCTGATGCCCCTCCCCTCATGCCGCCAAGCTTGCTTGGGCGAGGCTTTGTCCTGCTTGTAGCTGGAGCAGAGGGAATTGTCCTCCTTATACGTTGCTGAAATACATGCAAAACCGGCTGCTTTGCGTATGCATACAAGTTGTATGAGACCTGGTGTCGCATCGGTAATGGGGCCCCAAAATAATGGGAGGGAAGGCAGGGGTGGGGGCGAAGGGAATACAAGTGAGTACACGTAAGTTAGAGGGGAGTGTATGGGGCAAATGTGATGGCAACACGTGCACGGGAACTAGGAGGCACAAGGCGAATAGTGGCGCAGAAGGGCAGGGCAGAGAAGGAAAGAGCAGGGATGGAAGGGCAGGGATGGGGAGGGAGCGGAGGGGAGGAAGTGGAGGGAGGGATTAGGGAGGGAATGAAGGGGAGGGTAGGAAGGGGACGGAAGGAAAGGAAGGGAAGGAAGAGTAGTGGCAGGTAAGAGAAAGGCAAAGGAATTTGAGGGATGGGGGAAGGGAAGTGGACGGGAGAGGAAGGGAGAGTGGGGGTAGGGGGGGTTGGTTACAGGAAGCAGGAATGGAGGGAAGAGAGGAGCAGAGAGGGAAGGGCGGGAAGAGAGGAGCAGAAAGGGAAGGGAGGGAAGAGAGGAGCGGGAGAGAAGGGAGAGAAGGGAGAGAAGGGTGGTAGGGATGGAAAGGATGGAAGGGAGAAAAGGGTGGTAGGGATGGAAAGGATGGAAGGGAGAAAAGGGTGGTAGGGGGGAAGAGAAGGGCGGGTAGGGAGAGAAGGGAGAAAATAAAGAGAAGGCTGGGAAGGGAGGGAAGGGAGGGACGGGAGAGAAGGGAGGGACGGGAGAGAAGGGAGGGACGGGAGAGAAAGGAGGGACGGGAGAGAAGGGAGGGACGGGAGAGAAGGGAGGGACAGGAGATTGCAAGGAGGGATGAGAGGGAAGGTTCGAAAAGGGAGAGAAGGTAAGGGGGGAGAGAAGGGCGGGAAGGGAGAGATAGGAGGGAAGGGAGTGAAGGGAGGGAAGGGAGGGAAGGGAGGGAAGGGAGTGAAGGGTGGGAGGGAGAGAAGGGAGGGAAGGGAGAGAAGGGAGGGAAGGGATGGAACGTAGGGAGGGAACGTCGGGCGACGGAAAGGGGAATAGGGAGGCGGGAAGGGAAGTCTGGCGGCGGGAAATGGGAATCGGGCGGCGGGAAATGGGAATCGGGCGGCGGGAAATGGGAATCGGGCGGCGGGAAGGCGCATCGGGCGGCGGGAAGGCGCATCGGGCGGCGGGAAAGGGGAAGCGGGCGGAGGGAACGGGAATCCGGCGGCGCGAAAGGGGAATCGGACGGCGAAAAGGGGCGGTCGGCCGGCCCGCCCAATGGGCGGGAAAGGGGATTCAGGCGACGCGGAAGGGGAACCAGGCGGCGGGTACGTGAATCGGGCGACGGGAAAGGGAGTAGGGCGACGGGAAAGGGAGTAGGGCGACGGGAAAGGGAGTAGGGCGACGGGAAAGGGAATCGGCCGGTGGGAAAGAAGAATCGGGGGGCGAGAAGGGGAATCGTGCAGCGTGACTGAGGTTTCGTGGCGGCGGGAAAGGGAAACCGGGCGGCGGGAAGGGGCACCAGGCGACGGGAAAGGGGAATCGGGCGTCGGCGAAGGGGAATCGGGCCGCAGAAAAGAGAATGGCTAAGGCGCCGCCATGGATGCATTCTCACTTTTGATGCGAAATGCTCCGCGTATTAGGTTCCAGAAAATAAACAATGGCTCTGTCGGCGTATGACCTAAGCGTGAGAAGCGCTATAATCGCAATGGCTTGCAGTGCTTTTGGAAGTTACATTTTTTAGTGATGACTATGCACGCTTTGGGAGTGGGGACAGTGGAGAGGAGGCACGTCCTTCAGTATACTTTTGGCTAGGTATAAACTTTTGACGAGTGAGTCAGGTGAGAGGGGTTGGGTTTGAACTAGTCGCTGTGTTAGAAGTCGAGAGACCCTGTAATCTGGTTACCACCATGTACCTTTTATAAACTTTTGGCCTTTCCCCTGCCAAATGTATACCGCTGCTTTCTCGCGGGAAATTAGCTTGTAACGGAGAGGCAGCAGGAAAGAGTGTCACTCTGGCAGCAGGGGCGAGGGCGATATTCCAGGTCGGGTCCTACTGGCCTGAACCAAGCAGGAGAACCAGAAACGCCGCACCAATAAGAATTTCGAATTTTGCTGCTATCGGGTCTCGCCCAATCCGGGCAGCGGACAGGCCATGTGCTCATCCGGCGGGAGAAAGAGTGCCGCCTAGCAATTACGGGAACCTTCAAGTGGCACACTGTTTCGGATGCCACATTTCACGGGTTTCATGTGATTGGCCGCAGCTACTGGACGCTGGACACTTTGATCCTGTCGTGTCGTTCTGCCAATAGTGTTGTCTGGCGTCTTTCACATTTTCTGCCCGAGCCGTAAGGCACACGTCCAGCGACGTCTGTGCGATGCTCGTTGGGTTGCAAAAAACATTTGGTAAATACCGCCAGGTGCTGGTTCTCCGACTGACCTGTTTGGGGGTGATGTGAATGCTTCAAATGTGCGACAATGGCTTCCCTCTCCGATCGTTGCGGAATAGTTATCATCTGGCCTGGCACTGGCTTGGATTCTGGCCCTACAAACCGAGCCGCCATTTCATCTTTTGTGACTGTGGCTTGCCCGTGTACCCTGTTTCCGTTCGTTACGGCCTGGCAACTGGGTTTCATCTGACTGGCGCTGCGAGCCGGCGACAACTTTCATCCTTCGCTGTGCAAACTGTGCTTCTCGACGACATTTTTTATCAGCCTCGGGGGAACCTGTGTGCGACCTGCCCAAGCAACGAACCATTCGCAAGCGCCTCGAGGTCTGTGTCCGACGAAATAGCCCACCCAAAATACCAACTTTAAGCGACAATCTCGACGATCTTTTCCCCTTCCCAACGCGGTTTGGGCTTGGCACGGGCTGACGTGGCGTCGCGAAACAATTTGTGGATAACCGAGATCCGCGGTACGAAATTTTTGCAAGAGCCCAGAGGCGGGAGCAGGGCACACACACCCGTCGGCTGGTTTGTGTACAACGAAACAAAACGAAAACATTCGTCTGGCTCTATCGTCTGCCCGGGAGAATCAGTCGCCTGCGCCTTTTCGCACAGCCGATTCCCGTACCTGAGCAGCACACCACAAGATGAGCTCTGCTCGGGGGTCTCTGTGTCCTCGTGTGCGCCCCGTCGCCTGCTGCCCAATTCTGTGCGCCCCGTTCGTTCGGGCAGTCGCAGGATCTCCAGCTGAGCTCAGCAGCTCCCGCTGGCAGGCAGGGAGATTGGGAGGCAAGCAGAGGAGATGGGGACATCCCGCGAACGCGGGCATCCCGTGAAAGCGCAGTCGAGATGCTTGGGGAACAGAATACATAAAGGGGAGCATCCTTCGCCTGAAATAACCATCTTTCACTCCCTCAATCTCCTCTCATTCACGAGTTCTGACCTTCGGTGTTTCCAACACACTCCTGCCTTCTCGGATTTCAAGTCACTCGTGAACCAGTCTCCTTGAATATCACGCCTGTTCTCGATTCACTCTTTGTGACACATTTGCTCGATTTCTCGGCTCAGTAGCTCTAGCTCCTGCTCGAACAGCACATTCGGCTTCCCGCCCAGCGCTGAACTCGAGCCGACGTCGTTTCGCAATTCACGTTCCTCGCGCCTACCTCTTCGAAGCTGCCCCTTCTCTCCTTCCTCTCCTTCTCGTTCTCTCTCCTGCCAACGCCTCAGAATCACCCATGGCTTCTTGCTGGCCCATTCCCGAGTGCGCAATGCAACTAAGTGCCACATCAACTCTGGGCCTCAATTGCCAAGCGGGGTTCGAGCGACCAGGCATCATCACAGTCTTGGCGTCGATTCTCGATAGAGTGGTCGCGGTAAGCGAACAAGCTCCTCCCAGAATCTGCGGCAAGACGGGTCAGCAGCTGACGGTGTTTCACGGGCTCAGAGCGCCTGGAATCAGCATCGCCAAGTACCTGGATCGGATATTTAAGTACGCCAACTGCAGCCCGTCGTGCTTCGTGATCGCGTACATTTACATCGACCGCTTGATCAAGTCGCAACCAGACATGGTCATCACGTCGCTGAACGTCCATCGCCTGCTGGCGACGAGCGTCATGATCGCCGCGAAGTTTCTTGACGACGAGTAAGTTACCACAAAATGACCCTAGCTTATCTCAACAATACACACAATGAAACGAATTCAAGCAAAGCTCGCGTGTGATAGCTTTCTCTCTAGCACACTCCTTCCAGTGAAACGAGTTGCTAACCATTTTCTCCCCTTCTTTCTCCTCCTCTCTCCTACAGATATTACAACAACGCGTACTACGCCAAAGTGGGTGGTGTTGCCACAAGCGAGATGAACAGATTAGAGTTGGAGTTTCTCTTCCGGATTAAGTTCAGATTGAACGTGACGACAGAGGAGTTTATGGAGTACTGCAAGCTTCTAGAAAACGAGCTCTGGACATTGTGCCAGGCGCCGCAGGAGATGCAATACGTGATGGCGACAACAGCGGCTCACGAGGTTCAGATTCAACAACAATACGCTTACGGTTACTCTACAGCTGCTGCGATGAATAAAGCTTTGGCGTCGGGTGGGGATGCGGTGCAGACTCCCGAGCAAAGAGCGGAGTTAAGAAGATATGCCAGCCCTCAGGATATCTGCTTAGTGGCTGCGTCATAGCAGCGGTCAAGAGTGCATTGAGGATTCAAAAGGAGTAGAGACTCCAGGTCCCTATACGAATTCAATGTAACATAACACTTTTGACATATACTAGGCCCAATTATTCTTTTGTAGTGCATTTTTTAGGTTTTAAGTATTATTACGCCACGTGCAATCTTTCTCCTTCTCGTGTGTCTCTGTGCCTTTTGCTCACATAGCTTTCTTTCTGTGCCATTTGTCGGCGACCCTGGACGAGCTTGTGTTGATGCTTATCAAGCCTTTTTTTTGGCAGATAGTGATAATTATCGATGGCCCCTTGTCCTCCAATTTTTTTACGAGACAAGACGTGCAGGGTGAGGAACATAATACGCTAAACCCCGTCCACTAAATGAGGTCATCACTGAGTATACCGTGATGATGTTCACCGTCACGCAAACGTTCACTGAGCTTACCGCTCATCTTTTATTAGCGGGAGGCATCATCGTTTATTGCAGGTGCAGCGTCAGTCACCCACTTTCTTCCAAGCCGCTCGTTTTCCGCCATGGCTTATATCAAGATCAGAGACAGAACACATGATTTTCGCGACCAGGCAAGAACCGGGATCACGCCTGATCAGATACGTGCGCAACCCCGACGGGGTTTATGCGGGCGGGGTTTGTCCCGAGGGGAGGGGAGGGGGAAGTTTCTCCAGGGAGAGAAGTGCGGAGGGCGGCAAATATACTGATTTTGGGGGATGGGGGAAACAGGGGGGGACGAATTGCGGAGAGCTCGAAAATAAGGGAGATGCCAGACGGGCGGAAATGGAGCACCCCATGATTGGTGTAGAGCACCCGGTGATGTTGCGCTGGCACTGCGCGTGAGGTTGATGGATTGGGGGGGTGCGTACGCGCGGGTCGCCCGTTGATCGCCAATCGTGGAAGTCGTTCAGAGTCGCTTCGCTGACGCCTCTCGCTCGCCCGAATCATCGGCGGGCCGAACGATAAAAAGCGAACCTTGGCGAGCGCGGGAGGTGCTTTCTTGGGTTGACGATCACTTTTGGGTTCGGAATCTCGGGACAGGATAGAGGCGACTGTAGAAGTGTGGTTCCAGTGGCCCAAGGGGGTCCCCTTTCTCCGTTGACATTTCGCAGGGTGCTACATTCGTTCTGATTGGCTGCACCAAGCTGACGCTGTCAGCCGCACCACTTTTCACGGGATTGTCAATCTAGCACCTGACGGTGTCTCTGCTTTTGGCGCAAAGCTCGTTTCCCTCCCTGCTCGCAACCCTAGTGGTGATGTACCGCTTCTGAGCAAAACCCGCATCAACACATTAGAAGCTAACTACAGAAGCTTTGTGGGGGACTTAGTCATCAAACAAAAGCAGTATGTGAACCTATCTTAATTTCCATAGCACATGGGATCACTGATCTTCACCAGCCTGAGACCTCCTAACCATGTAATCTCCATCTTCCGGGTAGACTATACCATCATTTCCCGCATTAACAATGTTTTTTTTCGAGGTGGAGATGCATTGAGCCAGCTTCGTGGGTGAATTGGAGAGGGTTCATAAACCAAGAAATAGCTCACATATATCGTCATTTGGCTCTTCCATGCACATTTCTGACAAGTCATTATCTCATACCATATTGAGTTATCCCCAAGATGGAACTTCAACCATCTTAGAACCCATCACGTCATCTAATCGGTCAAAGCATCATCTAAAGATGCACCGGCTCACATTCCCGTTGCTTCATCCCCACTTGCACCCTCGGGGAGGGCATTCTAAAGGCAACCATTACATCACAGGAGATCTCATCGCAGAAACGTAGGCGGGAAAGTGTTGCTAGCCACGTGGGAGCCGCCATCACTGATTGACCCATCATCCTCCCAGTTCACAACCAGAAGATTATTTTGCCCCATGTTGCCCTCAACCACTTCCCTCCGTTGATCGAGCGTCCATCTACCGTCCACAATAAACTTGACCTGCCCAAAAACATTTGGGGGGGGAGGGGTGGGGGGGGGGGGGAAAGTTCAAGAAAAACGAGCAGGCTGTGCTTGAAGCGAGAGCGAGATGGAATTGAGGAAAACATGTGACGTGACTTCGGAGGGTGAGGGGGACGGAATGAGCATGGTGGGAATCGGAAGATGGAGGTGAAACAATTACTGAATTATGGAGAACAGAGGAGGCAGGAACGGATTTTGGGTGAGGGAGAGCTGGCCAAACAGAGGCGGACGAAGCGGGAACTATGGATGGGGTGTGGGGAAGCTGATGCATTTTAAAGGACCACTCTAGCACACAGACAGAGAACCGCGTAGCACCGCACTGTACCTGATAGTGGCCTGGATAGAGCCAAAGAGTGCATGCCCAAATCATCGCGCCCCTGCGACAGAACAGGGAGGGGAGGGCAAGGGGATGGGGAGGTGGGGGAGAGAAACGGAAGGGCGGAATGAGAGTAGGCTTCAAATTCTAGGATCCCGCACATCAAAACACTCAGCACCTCATAACAATGCAACGGGTTTTCATGTGGTTAAGTTAGTCCTCGCTAGATTGCAATGCAACGGGAGCCAGGAAAGGTGCACCACATCCACCGTACCTGCTTCCACCGTACCTGCTTCCACCGTACCTGCTTCCACCGTAAATGCTGCATCGGGTACCAGGGGCACAAGGCTCTTCCACCATACCTGGCTCCACCGCACCTTCTTCCACCGTACCTCCTTCCACCGTACCTTCTTCCACCGTACCTTCTTCCACCATACCTTCTTCCACCGTACCTTCTTCCACCATACCTTCTTTCACCGTACCTCCCGCTACCGTACCAGCTTCCATCGTAATTGGGAATGTGTGATCCACCAGGGTCACATGGCTCTGCCACCATACCCGCTTCCGCCGTACCTCCTTTCACCGTACCTGCTTCCACCGCACCTGCTATTACCAAGCCTGCTGCCATCGTGGTTGGGTTGGGAATGTGCTAAGACTCATCAGGCACCAACGGCACATGGCTCGTCCATCATACTTCCTTTCACCGTGCATGAATCACCATACCTGCCGGAACCACAACCATTTTTGAGGCGCCTCAAAAGGAGTGACTTTTGAGACGCCTAAAAAACCGCGAGACTTGAGACGACTTTTGAGGCACCTCAAAAGTCTTCCATCATACTTTCTTTCACCGTGCATGATCTCACCATACCTGCCGGAACCACAACCACATACCTCCTTTCACCCCACCTGCTGCCATCGTGGTTGGGAATGTGTAATGACTCATCAGGCACCAACGGCACGTGGCTCTGCCACCCATTGAAGCTGGCACCATTCCTGCTTCCACCGTACCCACGGTCACCGTACGGTCGGTTCCTGTTTTCCCCCCACCTGCTGCCATCGTGGTTGGGAATGTGTGATGACTCATCAGGCACCAGCGGCACGTGGCTCTGCCATCCGTTGAAGCTGCCTGCTAGCAGCACCTCGTGGCCCTCACCCCAGAACTCCACCACCACCTGATGGGGAGAGAGAAAGGAGTGAGAGGGAGTGTGAGGCGGTACGGAGATAGGGGTCAGTGACCCCCCTCTAGGCTGCCTGCTAGCAGCACCTTGTGGCCGTCGCCCCAACACTCCACCACCACCTGATGGGAGGAGGAGGAGGGTGGTGACAGGAGGAAGGGACATAAGTAGGTAGGGTCAGTCTCCCTATTCTCAGCT